TTTTTGCAGTACACGGGCCTCTCACTGTTGTGGCCTCTCCCGTTGTGGAGCACAGGCTCCAGACACACAGGCTCAGCGGCCATGGCTCACAGGCCCAGCTGCTCCGCGGCATGTGGGATCCTCCCGGACCGGGGCACGAACCTGCGTCCCCTGCATCGGCAGGCGTACTCTCAACCACTGTGCCACGAGGGAAACCCCATAACTGATATTTTTATATAAACGTACAAAGATAGTTAAATGGAGTTTTATTTTTAACACAGCTTGAAAAAAATCTAATCTAATAAGGTAGTATCATGGGTATAGGAAAGGAACTAAGAGAACAGAGGGTATATAGTATTTTGACCAAATCCTCCTGGTGATAAGTATTCTGCTAATACTGTGCTATCCTTTTTACATTTACAAAGACATAATTCTCATTTACTTCTGATTTTTGTAGCATGTGCAGTATGATCTTGCTTAAGAATTAGCACAGAAGAGCAGTTTTTATACAAAAGAACTGTGCAAGTGAATTTGATGTAGACATAATTTAACATAGATAAACATATAAGAACTGGAGCCAGACTACCTGTATTCAAATCCTGACACTACCACTTACTAGCTGTTTGACATCAGGCAACTTACTAGCCTTCTCTGCACCTCAGTTGTCCCTTCTGAAAATGAGGTACTAAACTACCCATCTCATTGTGCTATTTTGAAGTCCAAGTGAATTTGTATATATAAAGCACTTAGGATAGTATTTGGTATATAATAAGTGTTAGCTATTAATAGTGCCATTGTATACCTCTGTATGGTTATTATTATTTTTTCTTTTTTTATTGAATGAAAGATTCTTTAAATACTAAGTGCTTTACAATTTTGAAGTTTCACATTTCATATAACCCCTGAATAACCCTTTTTTCCCCCCTTACCCCTATATTACCCCTGCCGCCCTCCCTCTCCCCACTGGTAACCACTAGTTTGTTCTCTATTATCTGTGAGTCTGCTTTTTGTTTGTTCATTTGTTTTATTCACTGGTTTGTTCTATTTTTTAGATTCCACATGTAAGTGATATCATACAACATTTGTCTTTCTCTGTCTTATTTCACTTAGCATAATGCCCTTCAATTCCATCCATGTTGCTGCAAATGGCAAAACTTCATACTTTTTAATGGCCAAGTAGTATTGCATTGTGTATGTGTACCACATCTTCTTTACCCACTTATCTGTTGATGAACACTTAGGTTGCTTCCATACCTTGGCAATTGTAAGTAATACTGCTATGCACATTAGGGTGCATGTATCTTTTCAAATTAGTATTTTTGTTTCTTTTGGCTATATACCCAGCAGTGGAATTGCTGGGTTATATGGTAGTTCTATTTTCAGTTTTTTGAGAAACCTCCATACTATTTTCCACAGTGGCTGCACCAATTTACATTCCCAACAACAGTGTATCAGGGTTCCCTTTTCTCCACATCCTTGCCAACAATTGTTATTTGTATTCCTTTTGGTGATAGCCATTCTGACATGTGTGAAGGTTATTAATTTTAACATTAATCTTTTCTACATATTTTGTAGGTATAAAGTACATGAACCATTTCTAAACCACAGGAATTATGCCATGTACAAACTACATTTTTGAGCCAGAGATAATGTGGCTTTTTATAGTGTGGCTGGTAGTTAAATTTATGAAAAGAAATGGAGGAGCTTCATAGAGTTACCAGGCTGCTTGTATTATGTTATCAGCATGTCTGGAAGAGACTAACTCACTTTCTGACAATTAGCATGCCATGAAAAAAATGTTATTTATCGATGCCCACTGTCTGTATAATATAGACAAAGGCAAAAAATATTTTTTGGAGTTCTCCAAGGAGTTCTGACTTCAAGGACTGCTTTGACCTTAAAGTTTTAACAGTATCTTTAACTGTAAGATGTTAATAATTAGATATTTGAGGGGAGCTAATTTTATCAAATGCAGTTTCAGAACATTTGGTTGAAATATATGTAGACGAGGTTATTTCAGGTTTTTTTCTCTTCTTTCCCAAAAGGTAGTTCTTATCAGGCTTTTCTTGAAATCAGAAGTCACTGAACAGCTTAAATATCTACCCACCAGTGTAGAAGCAACTGTAACAGATAATCTAATGGTTAAAGATATTCTTTAGACAAAACTTTGTTTCACAAGGCAAAGCAAGAGCTTTTTAAGCCCAGAATGGTTTTTTGTTTTTTTTTTAAGATCCAAGCGAAATAGGAACCCAGCAAGAGTGATCTATGTCAAATAGTGCAAACTACGCCCAGAATTCCCCTCAGACCATTCTGATCTCTGGCCTGAGTCCCTCATGCATGTGCAGATTGACATTGCAAGCAAAAGGTCCTGTGGGCACAGATGAAATCTGTGATGATAAAGATGAATTAAAGAGAATATAATTATTCTCTTTTAGAGAGGTTGGAACCAATGGTGGCATCTGACACATTGTGAGGTTTAAGTGGGCATGCCAACTGTGAATCACTACCCATAGAATCTTCTTGCCAAGAGCGGGGATGCTCAATGGTTGTTCGGGGCAACCTTTATTTTAGGATTTATATAAGGAACCATGCCCACAGTAGACTTTGTTGCCAAGTTGTGGGGGTCTCCAGCTGCCCAATTTGGGGAGGGAAGTTGGTGATTATTATAAGAGTACCTATAGTGCACCAATTGTCCAAAGCATACTAAATTTTTAACTAATTATAATCTGCTTTCTTCATACTACATCAAAGTGAATCATGATCAAACTTCTATCAAAAACATTCTTTTCTAATTCCAAAGTAACTCTTCTATGTAGAAAACTAAGAAAATACCTCTTTTAACTGAAGACATCAAATGATATATGTACGATAAAATATACTGCTATTTTATTTCTAAATAAAAGAACTTCTAAGATTTTAAAAATTGGTAGGATTATATAAATAAAAAGTGTATAAGCACATTATTTGACATAAAAATATTCAAGGACTCTTTCTTACCTCAAGAATGGGGCACATAATTTCTGCTGTGACATCACCATGATTCTTACAGAATTTATAGAATGCCTCGATGTAAGACTTAAAAAGAAGAAAGATCATAAGGCAAGAAAATGAATGTATTTTCCTTCTGGAAATTTCTAGATCAGCTTTCCATGGGTTATTAAACTCTTTAATGGAAATTGAATTACTTTTCCCCTAGGGAGATATTTGATAATAAATTTGGTGTAAACTTTCACCTTGAAGCACATTGCACAGCCTAAAAAAGGAACTCCATAAAAGAACAAAATTGTATTTATCATAGCTTATAACTACTCAACAAGCACTTTTTTGCATGCCTCTTAGATTATTTCTCACTGTTAATTCTTGCTATTCTAACAAGAGTGCCAAACTCTCTTATGAGCTCTGCAAATAAGTCTAGATTTGGTCCTATGCTGATATTTAATGTCTCCTTGTGCTCAGGAGACACATTTGGGATGGCACTGAGCATGGAAGATACACTGGAAAGGCAGAGTCTAGGCTGTAGAGGCAGCCCTGTGTTTGAATCCCAAATCTGTTACTTACTAGCTAACTGACTTCTGCCAAGTAAATTTACCTCTCCGTGCTTCAGTTTTCTCATCTGAGGAATGGGGATGGCACATAGTTTTGCTGGGTGGATTAAGTGATCGAATGCCTATAAATGCTTAAAATAGCGCCTTCCATTAGCTATATCTCAGGGATGCTTCCTCTAAGCCCATAAGTCTTTATATAAAAAGGAAAACTGCTGCAATGCAATGCTTTTGAGAGGCTCACATGTTTCAGCATAAGAAGCTAGATATACAGCATGGCAATGTATACATATATGAATATATATATATATATTCATTCAGGTACTCTATGAGAGTGTCCAAGGATGCTGTAGTGGTGTGAGTGAAAATGGATATATTTTGCTCAGCCCTTATTACACAGAGTGACTCAAACGGCGGCAGCACAGTCCAGACAGACAGCTGGTCAGATTATACAGAGTGGTGTCTATGATGTTGTGTCCACAGATGGTCATCTTGGTATGCTGCACACTGTCAGTAGATTAAAATTGTGTGGACAGATTGACTGTGAAATTCAGGGACTCTGGTAACAGGATTGAGGACAGAGATGGACATACATAACACAAGGTTCACTATGTATGTTGGTTCTTTTGAAATGGATTCATATGGTTCACCACACTCATCTGTCCACCCACCCATCAACCATCCATCCATCCATCCATCCATCCATCCATCCAATTGACACCTTTTATGTTCCAGGCACCATGTAAAGAGTTAAGGATACAGAGAAGCATGGGATCCTCTCAAGGATCTTGCTGGCTGGGAGAAGTTGACATACATGTATTTAACTAGAAGACAGGCCAGGACTAAAAGAGCTTTGTCCCCAGTATGCCTAACTTCATAATTCAGCAGCTGGCTAACAGGCAAGTAACATTTAATAAAGAACTATGGTTATGATGTATTATGTAATAAAGAAGAACATAATATTTGGGGAAACAGTTACCTTGTACAGTTTATTGCGCAGTATTTCAATATTCAGTTCGTCTAGAGTATTTTCAGACATACAGTCTTGAAAGAACGGAGCTGAAAGCAGAAATTATTGTACAAAATAAATTAATCAAAACATGATTATAAACTGTAGAAAATGTCTCCTGAATGCACCACCCTCTTCCCACCCCTAACTAGGACACTGTGGAGGGGCAATCCACAGACTCGGTGAGGCTAACAGTGCTGGTGACAAGAAGTGTGATTACTTAGGAAGCATTTGCTCTGTGCAAGCTGTCACTAAACACTGGATATACTTGAACTTATTTAATCCTCACAACCTGGAACTACTCACTTTATGGTTTACTTTTTGAAGCCCCCCCCCCGACACCCGCCTTTAGATAACAGTAATATTTACCATTTGCAACCTTACTATGTGCCAATCATTGAGTTGTATTAAAACCATCTTAGTTTACAAAACTCTGTTATAGTAAGATATTATTGTTTTTAAAATGAGGAAACTGGAGTGAAATGAATTGTTCCAAGTCACCTGGCTGGTGGTGGGCAGAGCCTGTCATGCTTAGGGATATCTGCTTTCAGACTCACCCTCTTTCTGCCATGCTATGCTCCATTAGCACGGGACACTTAATAAAGATGTAATTTTTTTCTTTTTAAAATTTGTTTTAAACAGCAACTATTTTGATGAATGATCAACAGTGAATATAATCCAGGTTTCCTGACAATAACTGTATAAAATTATCCCATTAGTATTTTAAATGCTACAGCTGTTGTCAGTGCCAAATTATAATGAAATTATTATTTATTTCATCATTGCTTCAGGTCATTAGACAGACACTCCTGAGCATCTCAGAAAAATGGCATTCTTAAATTTCCTAAAACAAAATGTTTCCTACATGCAGCCTTATTAAGACAGAAATTTAAAATGAAAAGGAACTAAATATATAAAACCCAGCTAGAAAATTAATTTTTTGAAAAATTACAAGTTCTATCATTTATTTGCTGTGGTCAGGAACAAAGTACAGGGGTTTGGAGGTTGGGAGATGAGCGCTAGCTCCTTCTCAGCTACAAATGGTTTGCATGTGATCTGGTATACTTCATTGTCTTGATCTGAAAAATGAGGCAGCTGGACCAGATGATTCTCTAATGTCCATTTCACTTCTAGGAATCTGTATAGTATGACAGTATATTCATGGAGAAAATTGTGAATTGAAAGTGAATTTTCTAATACTGTGATAACATACACAAGCAGCTGTGCAATTATTTATGCATTCATACCTAATGGTGTTTCAACCAGAATGGCATTAAAGAGATCAGAAGGTGTCTCTGCAATATTGACTGCTTCCATTTCTGTGAAACGGCCCAACGGGTGGCACTTCACCAGAATTTCTTTCACAGACTTTTTTTGCAATGCACCGTTCATCAGTAGAATCACATTGTCTATCATGTAACTGCACCTGGTGTAAAAGAGGGCTCAGTCGTTAGGAAAACAGTTGCATGAGAATAAGAAACATCCCTCAGGTAAAAAACAAAAAACAAAACAAAACAAAATCCCACCTTTCAGGCACACACGCTTTCATTAAGGAAATATATATCTCCTTTTATTTTAAACTCTGGGTTTTGAGAGATGTAGGTGAGGTAAAATATCTGACTCTTAGAGGGTGCCATAGTTTGAAAAACTATGTTCACAGTTATAATACCTGACTGGTGGGGCCACACAGAAGATGACCCTTGCACAGTAAATGCCAAATGTGGTGGGTGGGGCAGAGAGTAGTGAGGGTGTTAAATTGTTTGGTTTCTCATAATGGACTATGGGCTTAAAAAGTTGAGAAACATAGACTTAAAGGGTTTCATTATACTTCAGAAACTGACTATTTAAATCTTTGATGAAGCCCATCGTTGAGTATTCAACGTTTTAAATATTTAAAAATAAATAAAAATATTTATTAATTTTAATATTAAAATGTTTTATATATTAAAAATTAAAATATTCTGGGTTTTTTTCCTCCTATGAGAGCAGATAGTCAACTTTCTAGCCTTTTCCCCTCCCAGAACCCCAAGAGCCCATAGGTTCACACTTTACGTGATTTCTCTATTCAATATAAGCTCTACCCAGGATATTCAAGCAATGAGGTCAAGAAGTAAGAGAGACATAGTCGCTTCCTTCACAGAAAATACAGTTTAAGGGAGGCACTGGTACATTGCAGTGCAGCATACAGTCTGCATACAGGAGATTACAGGGTGGTGTGGGGATTCAGAGCTGGGCACTAAACCAGTCTGGGATCAGACTTCCTAGGGAGTGACATTCAGGCTGCAACTTGCAGAATGAGTAGGAGCTGTCCAGGCAAAAGCGGTGGCTGGGAAAGGGTGCTTCCAGGCAGAAGGGAGAGCATGTGAAAAGCCCCAGAGACAAGAGGGCCAGGAACAAGGATGTTTTTTGCCTGCTGAGCACTGGAGGTGGGGCCCAGGCTGAACGAGCAGAGTCCTGAAAGACAAGATGAGGAATCTGGATTGAGGGCAATGGGAGATGCTGAATACTTCAAGGACAGGGGGAATTATGATCTGTGTAGATAGAATATGCATTAAAACAGGATAAGAAGTAAGCCAACACTTATATAGTAACATTTTTTACAAAAGTTATTTTATTTAATCATGATAATTACACTGTGATAATGATAGGTACTATTATTACCTCCGTTTTACAGATGAGGAACTGGCAGCCCAGACAGGTAAAAATCTCACCCATAACGACACAGCTAGCAAATGAAGAGGGATGAGAATCAAACTCAGACAGCCTGCTTCTGAAACTTTTCTCTTAACGCTCAGTTTATGCTGTGTTTAGTTGTCAAGGATGACACATAGGTTTCTAGGTTTAACAGTTAGAAGCTGGAGCCATTTATTGAGATGAGAGCACTGGAGGAAGAACGGGTTGTAGTGGGAGCTGATGTTTTGGACAGAATGAGTTTAGATGCCCAGGAGGAGATGCCAAATAGGCCTCGGACGTCTAAGTCCTGAAGAGACAGCTGTGGACCAGAGACATTTAGGGAGCGTGGGCAGGGGGTGCTAGTTTAAAGGTGGAAGCAGATGTCTTGGGAATGCTTGAGACCACATTCTAGAGTGTATGTCAAGAGTTTTGTCCTGAGAACTCTGGGGAACCCCAACATTTAAGGACCTTGATAGAACCTGAGAAGGAATGACCAGATGGTAGGAAGAAAACCAGGGAAGAGAATTCTAGGAAGAAGAGGTTAAAGGCCACAGGAAAGTCAAGGTAGACATTGAAGCAAGGTGTTCTCAGGATGCAGACACTAAGAGGTCATCTGGCACCACAAAACATGTTCAGTGGAGTTTGCTTGTGGAAGGGAAAGGGGAGAAGCCAGAAACCTGACCACTGTGTGTTTAAAATGAGTGGGAAGTACAGACGGTTTTGGTTTGTTTAATTGTTTTGTTTTTTAAAAGAGTTTAAACTATAAAGCAGGGGAAGGCAACTGTATGGAGACCCGGGGGCCAGAGGAGCTCTGGACTTTCAGTTTGGGTGGTTTTTTGTTTTTTTGTTGTTGTTGTTTTTTAAGGTGGGAGAGAAGAGAACACATTTAAGAGCTGAGGGGAAAGAGGCGGCCAAGAGGCTGAGGTGGCGGCTCAGAAGACGGAAGGGACAGCCAAGTGATGAGACAAGGTCCTCCACGTTTCGCAGTGATGGGACTCAACCACTGCACAATTTAGGCTTGAAAAGAACACCTTTCACTGGATGAAAATGAACCTGGTCACTTAGAAGCCCTGTCACTGGAGTCTGGCTGCAAGGGTTACTGGCTTCCTGTGCAAGAATGCATTTCCAGCAGGATAAGAATCTCCTGCATTGCAATTGAGCTTCTGCAATGTACCCCAATAAAATTTTTCCCTAAAGAAGTTTAGAAGAAGGCAATTATCCCTTTATAAAAAGCACATGACTATAAAGTTTCTTCACTCCCCCAAACAGCAGTACCAAATTTGGACATTATGGAATTTTAGAACCTTTTTTATCTCTCGAAAATGATATTAAAATGGAAGTGCTTATTTAACTGTCCCCTTATGGCTCAAAAGCTATTACCTGAGAGGGGAATTGCCAGCACTTAATAATCCTTAGCAGACTCCAGATGTTTAATTGTTCCCCCACAGCACCCCTGTAATGTAACAGCATATGAGCTGCCAACATTCCCAATGTGCAGAGGACTATGAGACCAACGCTGACGGGGGCAACCAAAGTCAATGCTATGAGAATTTAGCCCACACGTAACACTCAAGCCTATGCCTGTACAGTGTGTGTAGGGATGTGCACATGTGTATGTGTGCACATGCGTGTCTGGAGTGCTTTTTTTTTTTTTTTAAGTTAATAGAGAGGCTAGGCCCTCTATTGCAAAGAGCAAGGGCTATGGAGATTGAATTGTTTTATTTCAACTCATTTAAGTGGCCTTGTTTCTAAGATGGGACAACAGTAGCAGTTCTCATAGTTTTGTTCAGAAAATGAAATGAGACTCAGGATTTGGCCCATGGCAGGGGAGAGGGGTATCTTTCCTGTCCCTCCCTCATCACTGTCACATAGGCACCAGGCATATAATTATTATTGGCTGTTTGGGATGGCGGGGGGATAATGTGCCCAGAAGACAGCTTGCTCTTTCCAGAGTATAATCTTGATAGAACTCTAGGGCCTTGCTTCCAGTGGTTAGGAAAGAAATCTCTACTGGTGTTGCTTGAGTAATGTTTGAGTTTAAAGACATCTGGGTGCCCACCTAGCTCAAACTCCTCATGTTTTAAATAACTGTACTTATTAGTAGCAACAGAGCCAAAACTAGTGCCCACTCTATTAGGTTAATTTTTCTCCCACTCATGGTCTAGACAAACATCTTCAATTCTAGCCCCTTCTAAATATTTTCTTCTGTAACTTTGATATTGGCACCTGTGAAAATCATGAAGTCACCTGAAATTGTAAGAGTAAATGACTCTATTTCAAAAATTTTAGGTTGCAAAAATAATAATTTTTAAAAATGCCAATGCTGGGCTTCCCTGGTGGCGCAGTGCTTGAGAGTCCGCCTGCCGATGCAGGAGACGCGGGTTCGTGCCCCGTTTCGGGAAGATCCCACATGCCGCGGAGCGGCTGGGCCCGTGAGCCATGGCCGCTGAGCCTGCGCGTCCGGAGCCTGTGCTCCGCAAATGGGAGAGGCCACAACAGTGAGAGGCCCGCATAATGCAAGGAAAAAAAATAAATAAATAAAAGCAACAAGGGAAAAGCAACAGCCAGGCATTACATGCATTACATTACATACATGCAGTACATTATACGCATTACATGCATGCTCCCATTCAAGCCTCCCCACAAGTCAGTGCTCTAAGGACCATTATTACCACCACTTTACACATAAGAAACTGAGGCGGGCTTCCCCGGTGGCACAGTGGTTGACAGTCCGCCTGCCGATGCAGGGGACACGGGTTTGTGCCCCGGTCCGGGAAGATCCCACGTGCCATGGAGTGGCTGGGCCCGTGAGCCATGGCCGCTGAGCCTGCATATCCGGAGCCTGTGCTCTGCAGCGGGAGAGGCCACAACAGTGAGAGGCCCACATACAGCAAAAAAAAACAAAAAAAATGTTACACCCCTTCCTACTGAACGCAATGGTTTCTAACGAGAAATCCACCATTGTTCATGTTGCTTTTCCCCCACAAGTGTCACAGCTTTCAGGCATTTTTGTCTTTGTCTTTCAGAAGTTTGACTATGATGTGTCGTGGCTTGGATTTCATTGGGCTGTTCTTGTTTGGGGTTCACTCAGCTTCTTAAATCAGTAGGTTTGTGTTTTGCCAAATTTGGAAAATTTTTAATTACTGTTTCTTTGAATATATTTTCAGCCTTTCCCCTTTCTCCTCTCTTCCTGGGACTCATTGCTGCTGTGTATTTTGAGTCCCAGGAGTGACGGAGAGAATGGAGTTGGAGGAGTCTTAATCTTAAAGGATGTAGTGGGAAGAACTGGAAGCTTGAAATCCAGAAGCTTGGAGAAGGGCTCTGTGCCCACCTCACCCCCCCAACCCCCCAGTCACCCCTGCAGACTACTTCTGCACTTCCACAAGCTAAGCAGAAGGAGCCATTTGCATCCCATCATATCAAAGGTATATACTATTAACATAGTTTATGACTGTTTGTGCTGATCTTGATCACCTGGCTGAGGCAGTGTTTGCCAGATGTCGCCACACTGAGAAGGTACTGCCCCCTCTTTCCACACTGTACTCTTTGGAAGAAGTCACTGTGTACAGCCTACCCTTAAGAAGTAGGGAATATGGTTCCCCTCCTTGAGGATGGAGCATCTACACAAATTATTCTACAAGGGAGATTTGTCTCTTCTCCCTCATTTATTAAGTTATCCAATCATTTATTTAGACCAGGATGGTCTCATAAATATTTACTTTACATTTATTTTTATTTGGGGTGATAATTCAG